AAACAAAAAGTTATGAGTATCTTACACAAGGCAGTAAAATTTAAAGACTGAATGATTCATATGTTAATCAGTGCTGCTTCAGTTAAAAAAAGAAATGATGTGAACACACATGTGTGGGTGCATCTATGCTAGAATGAAAAGTACATTGCTGCACACTGATTCAAAGCGGAAGAATCCTGCTAAATCAACTTTTCTTCATATGTTCATTGGTATAATAAAACGATGTGAAAAATGTGGTTATTCGTAAAACATTTATCTGTTAAATTAGCCATCTGCCTTTATTTTCCTATTAAACCCTTCCCTGCCATCTTCCTGCTCTGATTCTGCTAGTCTTTATCACTGGTTGAACCAACTTCTATTATGTCCTGATTTTTCTCATTTTTTTAATATCCATTATTTATTGCCTTCAGACCTTTAAACCCAGGTGAACTTAATCACTTAATACGCAGATCTATTTTTTTATTAAAAAAATTAATGTTGCAAACCACCTTACAATGTTCTCACCTAAAAGAAAAATAGCAAATGTTTTAAAATAAAAAATTGCATCAATCATTTTCTTTCTTGTTTTATTTCTTCCTGTTTTCACTCAAAGTTTCCCTCTAATGCATTTAGATGTGGCTCACTAGTTCTCAGCATGTCCCAAAAGTGCTTTTCTTCAAAAGGAAACTGGACTTTCTTTGTTTTGCTGCAGGATATTTCGCTTCTCATTCAAGAAGCTTCTTCAGTTCTGTTTCAGTTCTCTCCCCCACTCCCACGAAAAGTTCTGAAAAAGCTTTTTGAAAGAGAAGCAAAACATCTTCAAGCAAAACAAAGTCCCAATTTTGTCCCAAAATTCCAAGCTTCAATTAATCCTACCAGCTGCATTGTATCCTTCTGCTTTAAATCTATTTTTGTACTATTTTTATGCATCAATTGCTGCTTCACTGTATTTGAAAAGAAGCCATTATAAATAATGCAGTATTAGTCTTACCTTTAACATGTAGTAGTCCACAAATTACTAATATTTAATATACATATTTTTTCTAATCTATATTTTTTAATCAAAATTAAGTACAGGGTATCTAATCTAAACTGAAATCCTAGCACAAGACACAGTTCAACCTTATACTGTGGTTAGGAAATTCTCCTATTCCTGCCTAATGGAAATAAATGCAAATACATTTTTATTATAAACAAATTTCAAGAAAATGCACATTTAGGAGAAAACTTTGCAGGTCTTTCAACAATATATCCACTTTAATTTCATACTTTTTTCTGAGAAAGAGTAAACATTTTTGAGACATCATGCAATTACTTCTACTAACTGTAAATATTTGAGCAGTATTATTAAGGGAAAAAAGAGGTTTTGTATTTTTCTATCTCAATCGTATCTATACTGTGAGGTGGAAAGTATAAATAAAAATGTTGAAGTTCATATTCAAATAACTATATTGGAAGATTGGAAGAAGGCACGTTGCAAAAGAATCAGCAACTTTTTGAAGCATGAAAAAAACAATGGAAATGTGGTTTCAGCGACAGTACATCACTGCACAGCTCAAAGAAATACAGCTTTCTGAATTATCACCTGATTTTAGAGTATTTTTAGCTCAATGCAAAAGTAAAAATAGGAAAAATGATATTGTGCCTAACAAAAAATATAGGCCTACTTTTAAACACCACTATTATGATAATATGTAAAAGGAATACTACAGAATATTATATTCATGATACACAGAGCATTTTGTTGTCCAGAAATTTAAGCTTTAAAATTCTGGCATTAGATTATTAACGCTATTTGTTTTCAGAAGTTGATGTTCTTCATTTTATCAAAATTCACAAAGGAAAGTCATTAGTTTCAACAACTATAATACTGTTCTTTTAAAATAATTCACATATAATTATTTCTTCTTGTAATTCTTTCCTGAATTTTTTCTCATATTATTGTATTATTTTTTTCTAGATACAAACTATTAATCTCCATCTTTCACATTTGGACCATATGAGGCAAACAGAGACATGTGTGTCATAAAAATTAAAGAAGAACTCTATCCTTGAGTTATGAAAAGGAAATTAATTGATCATGATAAACAAAAGAACATTTCATCCCTTGGCCATAAAAGTCCACGCTTCAAGCTATTTTAGATTTCCATGTTTAATGGAAGAATGCCTCTACCTATTCTACCATTAATTGCCAAAGAGGATTAAATCACATTTAATATCATGCCAAACATATCTACTCAGTATGGAATATCTGTGATTCTGGTTTCAAGTTCAAGTTCCACCAGACAAGTTCAGATCACAACGCAAAATCAGTATCTGCTCAGACAGAGTCTACAATCCATATCCTGAAGGCTTCATAATGGTTCCCATGCCATTTAGTTGGAACCCAGGCTCCCACTCCAAAAAAACTCCTCACAATTCTACAAAACAAATATTAAATTAGAAGAAGAAAAATACCTGCTTGTCACTAACATGAAAAAGGATTCGAAATTTAATGACTGCCTCCATTGGTGATGCCAAAATATCACTGATCTACTGCCCCGTTAGAAAGTGGGCTGCTTGGACATGACACATTACTGGCACCAGGGATATAACAGATGTGTCACCTATACAAAATACCAGGTTTAATTCTTAACATCTTTTGTTAAAAGGACACAAAACAAGGACTAGAAAAACTTATTTTTGTGCTCTTGGAAGCTACAAATAATTAAACTAGATGGAAGAAGGATATTTTATCTCAATCTACAATGGTATCTTTTCTCTATGTATACAACATGAAGGGACACTCGGCAACCAAACAATATATATTTATTCTGTATTGTTTTAATTGTTTTATATTTTATGATGTATGCATGCCAGACTCATTTCTGAGATGGGTAGTTATTGAAATTAAATAAATACATACATAAATGAGATGTGTTTGAATATTAGTAGCTCGGGTTGGTAGCTGGGCTGTTGGTTTGACATCCAGGCTTGGTAATTAGGTTGCAAACGTTTCGTCTCCATTCGGGGGTGGGGGGGGTACATCTTCAGTGCGGTTTGAATTGTGTTTGGTTTGTTTGAAATGTTATTTCTGGTATTTCAGTTGAAGCAGCTCTCTCGCTCTCAGTGGTTGGTAGGCGGGGTCGATGTCAACTTGGTATTATGATGCCTGATCTTTGATTTGTTTCTGTTGGCTCTTTAGGTTTTGATATGGTCCGTCTGAGAATTGTGGCTGGTTTGTGGGCTACTGTAAGGTCGTGTTGGTCTAGTATCGCAATTCCTTATATACAGAACATTTCAGAAATGACAGGAAGACTACTATGCCAACACAACCTCACAGTAGCCCACAAACTCACAAACAAAGATCAGGCACCATATACCAAGTCCAGTGCAACAACTGTGAAAACAACTATGGGGGCCAAACAGGAAAAAAGCTATCTACCAGACTGCATTAGTACTCCCTGGCTATGAAAAGACACGACCCTTTGTCCCTCATGTCCATCCACGAGGACTCAGAAGGACTAAAGTTTGATCTAACCAGGACCACAATTATAACCCAAGCAAAGTCAAGGAGAGAAAGAGAATTCCTCGAGGCCTGGTTCTCCACCAACCAATCAGTGAACAGACACATTGACATCGACCCCACCTACCAACCACTGAGAGCGAGAGCGCTGCTTCAACTGAAATACCGGAAGCAACATTCCAAACAAACCGAACACAATTCAAACCGCATTGAAGTTGTCTTCCCGAATGGAGACGAAACATTCACAACCTAATTACCAAGCCCGGAGGTCAAACCAACAGCCAACATACATAAATATGTAAATAACTATTCTATTTATATATGGCTATATGTAAGTGCTCTTACCACCTCCTGGCATGGAGGTGGCACACAACACAAAACCAGCAACAGTCTGGAGTCTGAAAAACAATAGGTTGGGGCCAACAACAATAATGTTATAATGCAGCAGCAGAGTGATGGGAGTTACTTGATTTAACAGAATAACAGAGTTGGAAGAGACCATAGAGGTCTTCTAGTCCAGGCCCCCTATTCACGCAGAAGACCCTATACCATTCCAGACAAGTGGCTGTCCAGTCTCTTTTAAAAAACCTCCAGTGATGGAGGACCACAACTTCTGAAGACAAGCTGTTCCACTTGTTGATTGTTCTCAATGTCAGGAAATTTCTCTTTAGTTCTAGATTGAATCTCTTCTGAATTAGTTTCTAAATAATCTAATTATTAATTGAATTATTATTAATAATAATATAATTATTAATAATCTAAATTACAAATAATGCTGAATAGCCTTTATAACATATAAGAATGTGCATCAGCTTTATTTTTAAGAATTATTTGCAATTCCCTATAGGCCTAAAGGCACTCAATCAATCAATAAAAGACAATGGCTGCAACAGCTTGAAAGCATGCACATCTGCCCTAGAAGGGAAAAAAATAAAAATAACTTGAAGAGACATAATATCTTGGGAGATTACATGAAATGATAGGGAGCAACTTCACAAATTTGCTTCCTCGTAAATGGAAGACCTGCCATGTCAATATTTTAGCCATTTTATGAAGCATACAATGAGAGGCTGATAAAATTGATGTGCACTTATACTCTGGAAAACTTGAGGGAATCTTCCAGAATGTTGTCTGTCCACAAATTACCCCTTAGCCCATCCTCTACACATAGGGATTGCATCAGTAGCAGTGAAATGACTAATTTTGGGTGGTAAATTTTTATTTTTTATTTCCAAAAACAAAGGTAGGAAAGATAGTGGGGGCTTAATTATTATCCAATAATATCAGGCTCTGGGAAGTTAGAGTCTACTGAAGTTACCTCTCTGAAATGAATTATGGGTAGCTAAAACACAAAACGTAGAAAATAGTATCTAAGTGGCTGTAAACATTTAACTTCCCATAGTAACTGATTAAGGTTTTTGTCATTATAGAATTAATGGTACATTTTCATGCTTTCTTTTTTGTTTATTTGTATGTTTGGTTGGTTAGGAGCCAAGAGATAACTATATATACAAACCTGCACATCGTAAGTCCCGTTTAGCAAAACAGGCCTTTGAGAACTGATGTCCTGCAGAACCCCTGATAGCACAGAACAGTTGACTTTCTGGAAGTCTTTGGAATGGCTGAACTGCACCATATTGTGGAGAGCTAAAATTTTAGTGTCGAGCTCAGCATCCTGCCTGGTGCGGTTATGTAGCCCAAGGTGGTACTTGCGGAAGTGTTTTATAAGATCTGTGGGGTCGTTCCCATAGTAACCATAGCCACAGATGTTGCATTTGAAGTCCTGAAGCTCTGGAGACAGAGGCGCCGTATCTGGGTTCTCATTTGCCGTCAAATCTGCTTTCAATTTGATTGGCCTTAAGTCCCCATCTGAAGGCACTTGTGGGTTTTTTGAGGCCACAGAGGCTGGGCTTGAACCGCGGCCCTCAGCTTGACCACTTTGCACGTGCATTGTTTCATCAATAGATTTTGGTGACATGCGAATCTCTTCACTTTTCTCTGTCAGATCTACTGACAGGTTGCAGGCCACATCTTGGGTGTCATCTGCATCTGATCTGTGGGGAGACTTCAAGGACTCAGAGATTCCCCCAACAGCTGGAGATGAGAAGGCCGGCATATTTCTGTCTGTCATCTCATCATGAGGGAAGGATGGAACATTTCCTCCCTTATTGTGGCTTTCATAATTGAAGCCAGCCTTTTCACTCGTTGTAGAGCTTTTCAAGTCCTTTTTAGAGCTGGGAGATGGCTCTGGGACATGCGTGCAAAACTCCTCGTCATTTTGCTCCACAGCCTCACCCGACTCAGTGTTGTCTTGCATCTGACCGGCAGAAAATTCTTCTTTTCTTTCAGTATTGTCACTTTCTGTACCTGGCGATTGAAGGGTCTCTGTTTCTCCTTCTCTAACGTTTCTTAGAGGGGGATTCTTTTTCCGGACCATATCTGAAAATATAAAATGTGTACACAAAAGATAGAGTAAAATAACAACAATATACAGTGCACCCAAGCAAACCATTCCCCCTCCACCCCTTCCCATACTGAAACGTAAATAATGTTTGCCAGACCAAACAAAAATGTTTCTCCAGAAGATTTTGTACAATCTTGCTAAGCCAGACTTGGGAATAAATCTTACTTACGTAAAGGGGAGAAACTTCTGTAGAAAGGACAGAAACATAATTTCATGTTGATCCTTTATTATTGTACCATACATTGGCCTGACAATCTTACTGAAATTTGGTCTAGTCCAATTCATTAATTAATTAATTGCTGTTATATAAAACTATTCTGTTAGATCCCAGGAATGAGACCAATATTCCACCAAGCAATGTACAATTTCAAGACTGAACCCAAAAATATTAAAAATATCACATTGAGATGCAGCTTTCTTCAACCCTTAAAACCTTTGGGATCTCTCAAAACTGACTGGAAATTCTAAAGGTTATGATTGCATGCTATCTAGAAGAGCCAGGATGACAAAGGAAGCTAAGCTAAGCTATCTAGATTTTCTCCAATTAGATACATCAGTTAATATAGCAATAGCAATAACACTTAAACTTATATCCCACTTCACAATGCCTTTCAGCACTCTCTAAGCAGTTTACAGAGTCAGTAAATATTGCCCCTAACAATCTGGGTCCTCATTTTACCGTCCTAGGAAGGATGGATGGCTGAGTCAACCTTGAGCTCGTCAAGATCAAATTTCTGGCAGTGAGCTGAGTTAGCCTGCAATACTCCATTCTAACCACTGCACCACCATGGCTCTTAGTATTTAGTGCTAATATTTTGGTATCATTCAGGAAAAACATGCTGCATTCTTATTAAAATGGTAAAAGATGAAAAAAAAGCTCAGATGGATCATAATGGGATCTATCTTAGGCCAGACACATACACGCACACAAATTTATTTTTTGAAGTCTCCTTCTTAAAACTGGTTTCAACAATGTGTCACTTTCATGTTATATTAGACTAACAAGGAATAACTTTATTATGATACTATGCTAGAACTAATATTCTAGATTAAAATTTTCATCATTCCATCCCTCCTGGTCCTGCTAGCTAGAATTACGGCCTGAATCCATGTGCTAAAGATTGAGCAAACTGGTACAATTAAAAAAAAATGTTTTAGATAACTACCAATCATTTTATCTCAACCTTCTTAAGGTAAAATAAAATGTTCTCATGTAATCATAAGTTACTTCAAATTTTGTATTGTTCATAGCCCTGCAATCCCATCTTCATGATTATCAAGTGTACAATGTCTGAAAATGAATCTTGCAGGTGCTTTTTATATTGCAGCAATTCAATAATATAACCCAAAGCCCAAAGGTAGGCTAGAAAGCATAGAAATGTATAGAGAAAAGAGTCTCCTAAGGCAGACACAAATATTCAACAGTCAATGGATGTCTTCGCTGAAAAGGCATTCATGAACCTCACTCCAGACTTATAGAGTTAATCATACTCTTATTGTCCAAACAAATTTGAGAAGGTAACTTAGAAACAGCTGCTACTTCATTCATTTTTTTGCCCAGTGCTGGAGTAATATCCCACTCCAAATTCTCCCCCAGTCTGGAACTTAGGAACAGATACTTAGAAAATACAGCAAAAGGTAGAAATTCCTAAGCTTCCCTGGCCACCCACTGTAACATATGAGAAACTCTAAAGAAGCAGATTTTATCCAGAAATAAGAATAATATTCCCTGCCCGCTCATATCAAGTTTTTTCTAAAAATAAAGTTTTGTTGGACACTATCTACTACATTGCTCTGTTTGAAAAATATATCCTTTTTTCTGCATTTGTACACTATCAGTATCATTATTCAAGAAGACATATTATCTAAATAAAAACCCATTTGCAGTACTTCTAAATGGAGAAACTATCTATTGGCAAGTCACGCTAGAGAGAGTGGAAATAAAGAGAAAGAATATAAGGCATTCTACAATTATTATCTCTAAGACAAATAACAGATTGCACAATGCTTTATGGCGTGCCAAGAAGTTTTCCAGTTAACATTTCTACTTAAAAAAAATACATACTTGTAAAATCATACCCAGCATTGACTTCATAAGGCATGTGGCTCTACAATGCTTTTTGTTGTGTTTTGTTTTTACAGTTATTAATTCTATTAGTCAATTAGCTGGAAGGCTAACACAACTGGCTTAGGAGATACACAGCAGACATAGAAGACATTCTGAGAGCTGATCTGCACATCTGCAAAAGAAAAACAAACAAAAAAGATTCCCCCCTAAATTATGCATTTATGATTAGGGTTTTATTGAAAAAAAAACAGTCAGTATTCTACAACAGCAAAAATTATGGCTGTACCACAATCAGATTAGCAACCCACAGGGACTTTAGCATTTGCTCAATCCTTTCCTTATTTTCTTCAAAACAATCTTTCAGATTCATTAATTCTTGAAGGGAAAACCTCAAATGTCAAAATTATTATCTTCCATGAGCCAGTCACAAATCACAACTTTACTCTCTGATACTCCCACACCATGGACTTAAGATCATGAAACCTTCCTCAGTCTTAGACTAAAATAATACTTTCTAAATGTTCAACTCATTCTTGTATACCTCTTTAAACTTACAACTTAAACATTTCACACATATCAATGTTACCTTATTCAACCTACTGCACACAATATTTTTTTCATATAAAATTGCATTTGTACTATTAAAATATGGTGCTCACCATCTTAAATTCATAAATTCAGTAACAGAATCAAGCACTGAATAACAAAGGACAATAAGAAGCACCTTATTATGAGTTCTTGAGTAACAACAGGGAGGGGTTAAGACATTTGGAAGCAAAACATAGCTCCAGCTTTAAAAAATGCCTGTCTATGTTTCTGACAGGAAATAATGGAAATACTATTCCTTCAACTTTTATATGAATGACATCCTTCTATAATTAACTTCTTGTACATTCAGAGAAGAAAATAGGTGATTATTAGGACTATTATTCTAAGCACATGGTACTATGAAAGAAGCATTTACTCCCTTTAACATTGGCATATCTTTGACATTCAGTTTCTTAGAGCAGGGGCCCCAACCCCGTCAGTGGACTGGTACCGGGCCGCGGCATGTCAGCAACCAGGACACACAATCAAGCAAAGCCCCATCTGCGGGATGCAGGCAGCACACAAAACCACTCCCCTCCGGTCCACGGAAAAACCTCTCTCCACGTAACCAGTTCCTTAGAGGTTCATAGAGGTCCTACTGATACAGTTCTCAACTTACGATCATAACTGAGCCCCGAATTACAGTCATAAGTCATGGCAGTTGTTAAACAGGTCACTATGGGACTATGCCCAATTTTACATCCTTTTTGTGGTGGTTGTTAAATCAATACTGCAGTCATTAAGCCAATGCCTTAGTCATTAAGCAACATTGCAATCATGAAACAAGCTCATTTTCCCCAATTTTTTTTTTAACTAGAAACTGGAAATAAATGCCAGAAACTGGCAAAGAAGCCAAAAATCATGGTTACATGACTGCAGAATACTCTTAATGGCTGTAAATTCAATATGGTTGCCAAGCACCCAAAATGCAATCACATGACTGCAGGGAAGCATGTGCAGCTGTTGTAACTTCAAAAATAGGTCATAAGTAGCTCTGAGGAAGTCTGTCGTAATTTTGAATGGCTGCTAAGTGACCAGCCAAAGACTACCTGTATATAAAAAGATTCTGAGTGAACGAGCAATACCAAAGTTTGGGGTTTCACTGATCTCATGATTAAAGTTGTTCAACATGACATGTACCACTAAAAAAAGTAATAGCTCCTTAGTTTCAATAACTGACTGTAGCTGCAATTAACTATTTCCAAATGCTTCCTGTAATAAGTGGTCTCTTATATAACTGTGTAAAAAAATCTGGTTTATCCTCCATGGCTTCAATTCAGATGTGGTGTGCTAAAAGAATGGCCACTTTGGGGAAGATTAGTAATTGTTCCAAATCTTCTCCCTTTCAGCATTATATGTGTCTGATTGATCATGCTTCAGGGCTGAGAGGCATCAATTATTTTTAATAGGGGGTCTTCAGAAATTGCTTTTGAACTAGGCATGATTTTCCTCTAGAATCCGTGATGAAGAGAGACAAAGTTTATCAAATGTATACAGAGAGGACCGATTCAAATCAGATTTGATTAATAAAATACTCAGACAACTGGACCCTTTAATTGTAGTCACAAAATAGGTTCTCTTTATGTGTGCACATTTCAACTCAACAGGTAAATTTCCTAAACGTTTAGTACAGTGCTAATCTATTGCACGAATTTGGGCACTTGGCAATCATCTTGCCCTTAAAACTGGTTGCATCATCCTGTGGACACTTTCACCATTTGTAATCTTACCTGCTATCTTCCTACAAATGAATGAGTACAGATGCTCAGGTGAATCTCTCCCATCCATCCCTAGTCTTTCTTTGCTGGCACAAACCACGTCCTCCGTTTCCCCCCTTGCTCACATATATGCCCCTTCATTCACATTCACACAAGACACACACACATACACATATTACCCTCCTTCCCATTCATCAGCAGCCTCCTTTCTGAGTCTTGGTGCTCATACCCCATTTTTTCTGACCTTCCTCAGACTTCCTACACTCACACATACATATATACACATTCCACAGCCCTCCTTCTTGGATCTCCCCACACTCACACACATACTTTGCCCTTCTTTTTCAGGCTTTTCCCAGACTGTAGTGCCCCCTTTCCCTTCAAGTTGCATGAAGCTGTCCCCTGACCACCACCCCCATCCCCGTAGCGGCCCCATGACATGTCCACCTTCCTCAACTGGGACTACTTCTTCTTCCTGTCTAACGACCAATGTGTTTTAAGCTAAGACAATTAGGACTGAATGGACTGTGGTCATTAAGCAATGTAGTCACATGACACTGTGCCTTACACAGTGACAGCAACCCTGCTTCCAATTGCTCTCCTAACTCAG